TCTAACTTAGAATAAAACAACATTCTAATCACTAGTGGAAGCTCAAATAAATTTAATTATTTCAAATTTTTTTCTTTGAATTTTAGGTCCTTCTGAGTTTATAATTTACTGATTATATTACTACTATCAGTGCTTTTTTTGTAAAAAAAAAAAAAAAAAAAAAAAAAGGTGCCGGGACTCACACATGTCATACAACCCACCTTACCTAACTTACAAGGTTTACCTTTGTAGTTGAAAAAAAAAACCCCTTCAATTTTTAGTGTATCTAAAAGACTAGGATTTTGTTCAAGGTAAGTTAATACTATTAATGCTACCATGCAGTGTGTAGCTTTAAATTACAAGAAGGCATTTTATTAATCTTTTGGGACATTTAGCATTGGCACATCCATTAAGTTTAATGAGTGGAAATGTCAGCTTTCTATGTGGAACGAAATTGGCCCAATAAAATAAAATTTGGTTGCTTGTAAAAGGTTGAATTATTTTTAAGAAGTTGTCAAACAAGGTGGAAAAATTTACATTTGGAGTTTAATATGGATATTGACTTGAAACAAATTAAAGTTGAAACTTTGTCAGTGAACAGATTACTTTTGATTTATCTTTAAGTTAAACCCAATTTATAAATAGATCTGATTAAACCTCATAATGTAGATCTACCTTTAAATTCGACCTATACATAATTAATATATATTATCATTAATAATAGTATCTCCAAATCACAAGACATTGGCTTTATTCTTATTCTTCCCCTCTGCAGTTTGAATATAAAGTATAAAAGGCTAAAAAGAGATTTTTGTAGACATCCCAGCCTTTGAACTGCCCAAGGAACTGAAGCAGCAAAGTTTCATTGTCAGCTAAGCTTCCACATAAGCCACTTTTCTTTCCTCTGGCTTTGTCTCTTTTTAATCTCTCACACACCCCATCTTCTGTAAGGGAATGCAAAAACTCACTCACCCTCTTGTGAAAGATGGCCTCCATGTTTATGTGTCTCCCACCACCACCATCAGCTTCCACACCACATGGTCCGACGCAGCCAATCAAGCCGTGCTTTGGTTGTGGTGCTCTGGTGCCTCATGGCTCCTCCTAGAGGAGGCAGACAGCACTGGAGGGGACTCTGCTTGCACCGTACCGCCAATGGGGCATTTTCAAAAGCAAACAAGGATAGGAAGGGAAACAATAGGAAAAGAATGCAAATCTAGAAAATCCATCGAAAAAAGGTGCTGGAACTCCATTCCAGTGCGTTCTATGACAAAAAAGCTCTGCTACTATCTTAATTGATTTAGATATACTCAGACCATAATTATCATGTATTTACATAAATCTGATTAATCCTACCAATGAATTTCAGCAGTAGGATCAGATTTCCATCCAATCCTTAAAAGTTGGTTGCATTTTAAAAAAACATGTATTCCATAGATCTGAGACTGGCATCTTAAATTTCTAGTAAATGCAGATTTAGCAGAAATGAGATTATGTTTATATATATTTTTCCTGTTACAGTGTTGATAACTGAAACTGTCAAGGAGCAATAGGATCACTAGCTTTGCTCTATTTCTTTTAATAACAAGCCAGATTATCTTTATTTTTCCTGACATGGGCAAAATATAGTACTGCCAGAACCAGTCTGAAGTCAGGCATTCAGCATGCCAAGGCAGATTATAAGAGGAAGATTGAAGACCATTTTTATAACGATGCAAGGCAGATATGGCAGGGGATCCAACAAATCACCAACTATAGACCCAATAACATCACTCCTGTTGACAGGGATGCTTCATTGGCAGAGGAGCTGAATTATTTCTTTGCCCACTCTAAAGTGAAGCCATCAGAGGCAGCTATACCACAGCCACTATTCCACCACAGCCCTCTCTTCACCTTGGAGCATAAGGGGAGGAGTACCTTAAGAGCTGTGAATTCAAGGAAGGCTGCTGGATCTAACGGCATTTCTGACCAGGTGCTTAAAGATTGCACAGACCAGTTGGCTGGGATCTTTACTAAGATTTTTAGTTGGTCTCTTTCCCTTTCCACTATTTCATCCTGTCTGAAGGCCTCCATCATTGTTCCACTGCCAAGGGAGTCCTTTATTAACAGTCTCAATGATTATAGACCAGTGGCTCTCACCCCTATTAGTGGTTATCAGACAGTAATGTCATGTGTACTTATAAATTTAATTAGATTGTTTATAATCCCAGGAACCAGAAGGAATAGAGGTTATAACTATTTTATTACACATAGCTCAGACTTATGTGGTGGTTTTAAGCTATTGTGTACACTTGTGAAAAGAGATACTTTGGTCACACTTCCAGATCCTTGAAAAGACACGTAAGGGAATACAAAATGCCAAATTGGAAGCCCCTTTTGTGGGACTGGAAATATAATGTATGCAATTCAATTTTTGAAGATACCAAGAAGATAATTCATAGAATAAGAAACTGATACATTACTGGGAACTCAATTATATCTATACAACTTAGTAATGAGTTTGATTATAGTTCATATGGATATAAATGAGACATGTTTAGATATTTTATCTTCATGTTGCTCACTTCTATGAGACTTTTAAAATTACTAACGTTTTTTTATTAATATAGATGAGCATTTAAATGCTCCTGTTTTGCAGAGAATGTTCACAACTGATTTTTTTTCACTCAAAAGCTAAGGATTATTCAGAGATTTTCCTTTTCCTCCTATTTCTTTTTCAGTTATTATAAATTTATTTTATCCATTGTGTTTGTGGGAGTTTAAATACATATATGAATTCTGATCCCTTATTTTTAATTTTGAATTCCTGATTTTTGTTTTTTATAATACCAAAATGTACCATTTTCTAATTATATATATGACTTTATATACATATCTGAATAATCAAATTACTTTATTATATGCTACAAGTTACTTAACATTTTTTCTTTCAAGCTTTCACCTTGTAGCGATTTATATTGTATTACTCTTGAAAAAAGTTAATTGATTTAATGAAGAACATATATTTTATCAACAGCAATTGGATTTTCTTCCTTTCTCTTTTCTTTTGTTGACATTTCTCCCTTTTCAAGCATTATCTTGCCTGATCATTGAACTGAGTAAGAAAAAGAAAAGAAAAAGAGAAAAAAGAGACATTTGAAGAAAATGTCTGAAGGAAAAAAGAGAGAGACGTTTCTTAGGGTTAAAAAGTAGGCTTCTATTACATTCATAAAATACAAACAGGCTTATTTCTCTTTCCATTATAGAGTAGTTTAATTAATTTCAAGCCTGGCAAGGAGCGATTAAGTTCTGAATGTAGCATCACAGTTTAATACAGGATATGGTAACAAAAAGATGGACACTAATTTTATAAATTGGATGGGTATCTGTTTGTGACGTATTAGTGTGCTGTAAACTAATAATGGACAATACACCTGGTTTCTTTTGACTATAGGTGGTTCTCGACTTACAAACATAACTGAGCCCCAAATTTCTATTGCTAAGCAAGATAGTTATTAGTGAATTGTGCCCCATTTTACAATCTTTCTTGTCTCAGTTTTAAGTGAATTACTGCAATTGCTAACTTAGTAATACCGTCTAGTAATACAGTTGTTAAGTGAAATCTGGTCTCCCTATTGACTTTGCTTGAAGGTTGCAAAAGGTGATCACATGACCCCAGGACACTGCAACTGTCATAAATACATGCCATATGCCAAGCATACAAATTTTGACCATGTGCCAATGGGGATGCTCAAACTGTTGTAAGTCATTTTTTTCAGTGACTCTGAACACTGAAAACAAATGTTTGTAAGTTGAGGGCTACCAATATTTCTTTTTCTAATGAGTCCATTTATGCTGATTTTATAACCTTTGCAAAACTAATCTATAATAAAGCAACTGCCCAGTTTAGCTGCTTTGCGATGAAGATTATGTGTTCCTGACAGCATAGGAGACAGCATCAATACATGACATCTCTGTTTAATAAAATTGAAATTGCATTGATTTACAGACACTCTCAGGTTGTGTTGTTATGCCACAGTAAAGTATCTGGAAATACAACTTGAAAAAAGCAAAGTATTCAATTTATTAAAACTTACACAAATTACTTCCAAGGAAGGTATTTCCTTTAGTGATACATATTTTCTAATATTCATGAATCTACTTATTCTGGAATTCAGTTAAATTCAATATTCAATAGTAAATCAATACACTGAAATACTGGTTGGATTATATATTCCAAATAAAAGTTGTCTAGAAGGAAAGATTAGTGATGGATTCTCCAATATCAGTACCTTAAAATTTCTCAACTGAAATATATATTCAGAATGTATGAGGTGCATACAAATAAATTTAAGTGCTTTTGGATTGATTCAAGAAGTCATCCAGTGTCTCTTTTTCCCTTAAAAAGCTTAAAAATGATTGATACCTGCTCATCAGTGTATCAGAAATTAATATTATATTAAAACATTTCATTATTAATTACATATTTTATTTATTTATTTATTTAAGGTACCACCCACCTAAGTGAAAGCAGATACCTTAGAAAGCAGTACCAAATTCAGATTATTACCTGATTAGGTTAGTGTTGGGATTTTAGTTCTCCAAATTCACAGCTAGCTTAGGAGTATGTGAGACATAGCACAAAATTGTCAACTGTCCAGTTGGCATTTCCAGAAAAAGAAACTCCTGGGACATGATTTTACCAAGAGTATAATACTTTACTAAAAATTTACATTGGCACAGAAGAAGCGAATCCAGCTCTAATTTTCCCATTCAAAGGTTTGCTTAGTTAAACAATAGACTCCCTCGTCCCCACCCATCAGGTGTTCATATTGTCCAATAGTAACATTTCTTCTTGTTATGGAAACAGTCCACTTCTCCATTGAGCATGACCTTAGCTCTCAGAAGCCTCGGTTGCCTAGATACCAATCCTCCCCTGTTGCATTCCATCTCATTGTCAAGATATGAGCGAGGCAGAAAACAAAGGTGAAAGGGTGAATCAGTCTTGACATGCCGACCCCCCTGGAAGAAAGACAGACCTGGAACAACAATAAACATATATATACATTATTATGTAAAACCCAATTACTGCTATATCCCTAAATGGGGCTGTTGAGGATACCGAATGTGAAATTTCTTAACTAACCTCACTGCCCTAACATCAGGGGCAGCCACCCACTCAGCATCTGCTAATGGGTAGCCTTTCCACAGTACTAGATACTGTAATTTCCCCTTGTAATATCTGGAGTCGAGATATTGTAGTGCTCCTCTCCCTTTACTAAGATGGGAGGAGGAGTGGTTCTTTGACTGGCCTCAAACCAGATCCCTGAAAAGGTTTCAATAGGCTACAATGGAATACCAGATGAACTTGCCTGAGGCTTCTCGGCAACTTTAGCTCCACCATCATCAGATTTACGATCCCAACAGTGTGGAAAGGTCCTATGTATTTGGGACCTAACTTTTTGTGAGGTTACCTCAGGTTTAGGTATTTAGTGTACAAATATACCTTAGCCCCCACTTTAAACTGTCACTGGGGGGCTCTCTTATGATCTTCTTGCCACTTTTGACTTTCTCTAGCCTTATTCAGTGCCTCACACACACTGGGCCCTGTGGCTTTTAATGTATCCATCCAATCAGTAATGACCTTGAGGATAGGAGAGCTCTGGCATGAACATGAACTCGGTCCCCATGGCCACTTTGAAGGGGGTAAAACGTGTGCTGCTGTGCACCGAGTTGTTATATGCCACCTCTACGAAAGGCAGAAATTCGGCCCAATTAGTCTGCTCATAATTTACATAATAGTATAGATATTGCTCTACTAGTGAGTTGGAGCATTCAGCAGCCTCATTAGTATTCAGATGATAGATGGAGCTAAGTATCTGGGAGGAGCCTATCATTTTCAAGAATTCCCACCAAAACTTTGCAGTGAATTGCACCCCCCTGTCCGAGATAGTGTGCTTCAGGATCCCATGTAATTGGTAGATGTGTTGCACAAACATCTTGGCTAGGGTCTGGACTGAAGAGCTCTTCGGACACCCTACAAGATGTGCTTGCTTTGAAAACAAGTCAATGACAGTCCAGATCATGGTGTTCCCAGCGCTCTCAGGCAACTTCACGATAAAGTCCATGGATATCTTTTCCCATGGCTTAGTTGGGTTGGCTACCAACTGTAGCAAGCCTGGAGGCTTCCCAGGTAGGCACTTCATGGAGGCACACATGGGGCAACTGGCCACATAGGCTTCTATGTCCTTTTTCATTTTTGGCCACCAAACCTGTCTTTTTCACAAATGAAGGGTTTTCACGAATCCAAAATGCCTTGCGGGTTTTGCATTATGACTCCTCTGCAGGACCAAGATTCTCTGACTGGCTGGGACGTACAATTTACTTCCCTTCCACACTAAGCCCTCCTTTGACATCAGGTCTTCTTTGTCTCTGGAATCATTCATCCGTCCCCAAAGCATCTTTTAACAGTTGCATCAATGAATCTCTTGTTGGTTGCAGGTAGGCTGTTTTCTGCTGCCTTGTAAGTGCTGGCACTGTGAACTGCCTGGATGAGATGATGGAGTTAACTACTTCTTCTCAGGCATTTCTGTACTGAAGCTTGTGAGAGAGGGCATCTGCTAGGAAATAGCGAAGGGTGAAATTGAAGTGGTTAAAATACTGAGCCCATCGGACCTGCTTAGGGAATAGCTTCCTCAGGGTCCTTAATGCCTCCAGGTTCTTGTGGTCTGTCCACACCGTGAAAAGAATCTTGCTACGCTCCAAAAACTGCCTCCAGTTCAGAAGGCCCATCAGAAAAGCATAAGCCTCCTCCCAGATGGCCAACATCTCTCAGTATCAGATAACTTGCGAGACATGTAGGCACAGAGTTGCAGCTCCCCCTTTTTGTTCCTTTGGAGTAAAACCGCCCCTACTGCCACATTGCTGGTGTCTGCTTGGATTACAAAAGGCTCATCTGGGTTTGGATGCTTTAAGACTGGTTCTGCAGCAAAGAACTGCTTTAGTTTCTCGAATGCCGCTTGGCATTCGACAGATCAGTTTAATGATTGGCTCGATTTGGGCTTCACCCTCTCCCATCTTGAGCAGGTTGGTAATGGGTAGGCTATCTAGGCAAATGTGGGATGAACTGTCAGTAAGTCACAAATACCAGGAAGCTCTGTAACTGCTTCCTGGTTTAACAGGTCTCCCATTTCAGAATTGGCCTCACCTTACCTGGGTCCATTTCTACAGCATCTTTGGAGATGCAATGCCCCAGGTAGTCTAGGCTGTTTTTGTGGAAGTTGCATTTAGATAGCTTCATGTACAGTTGGGCTTTCCATAACTTTTTAAGTACTGCTGTCACCAGCTTTACGTGCTCTTTCATGGTCTCAGTACAGATTAGAATGTTATCCATGTATACCAGCACTCCTTTGTACAGGTGCTCATGCAAGACTTCATTTATTAACTGCATGAATACTGCGTGCACTCCTTGCAACCAAAATGGCATCACTTGAAATTGATAGCAACCCAGAGGGCAGTTAAATGTGGTTTTCCTTCATCTCCTTCTTTAATCCTCAGTAATAGTAGCCCAGCATTTCCCTCGTAAGGGAGAGGAGATACATATTCTCTATGCAGATACCATTCAGTCGATGGTAATCCATGCATAGTTTAAGAGATCTGTCCTTTTTGAAAAGCACAGGGGCAGCCATCCTTGGTTTCACTGGTTGGATAAATCCCCTGGCTACATTTTTGTCTATAAAACCTTGATGTTCCTCCATCTCCCTCAGGCTCATTGAATACATCTCTGGCTTTGGTAATTTTGCCCTGACAAGATTTCAATAGGCAGTCTGTGGGCTATGGGGCAGGAACATGTCTGATTCTCTTTCGATGAATGCCTCCACTAGGTCATGGAATTCATTAGAACAAGTGGCTCTAAATCCTCACTTTCCTTTAGCGTGTTCAATGACTTTGCTTTCAGTTCCCTAACCATAGACTCATGGCTGGCATGCGGTGCTTCCATTGCCCGTTGGCTAGCAACTTCTTACATGAGTCTTCTTACATGAGGTGCTGGGCATCCCTTGGGCATCTGGTTTCATGTGCTGCATGCTCATGATACTCCATTAGATCGAGCTCCATGTTTGTGGCCAACTGGTACCACATTCAAAGGTTGCATGGCATGCCCTGGGACAGGCAGTTGTGATACAGCTCCTTGTTCAGTCCTTTCCAGAATTGGTAGACTAGCATACACTTGGGCCAATCTTTCAGGTGAGCTGCTAGGCTGTGAAAGTCTTGGATGTACTCTGTCACTGGCCGCTTGCCCTGCCATAGGAAACAGATATGGATCTCTGTATGCCAGGCCGCTGCAGGGTCTTCAAACCTGTCTTGCAACGCCTAGATGAAAGCATCCAAGTCTTGCAACTCCAGAACCCCTTCATCGTGGAGAGACACCAGTCCCTCTAGGTTAGATGTGACAATGTTGACCCAGGTGCGCCCATCTGGGTTCCTTACTCCATGTCATTCCATGAAGTTCCATAGCTGGGTCAGGAAGTAAGCCACATGGTTGGGCCATTCATCAAACCAAACTGCAAAGGGAAGTGGCACTTGGTTCTCTCACACTAAGACATACCTGGGCGGCAGCTCCAGTGCCTGAATGGGGAAGCCAGATGTTGCTAGGGTTGTGTGTGCCAGCCCCCCTACATCCTGCTTTGGCTTGGGCTGCCATCGTGGTTTTCTGGAGAGGAGGCTCCCTTGGTCTCACCCCTCTATCCACTCCTCTGTCAACTGCTAACATCTCAAAACTGCCAAGCTCTTGGTGGGTCCAGGTAGGCTGCTACAGGAGAGCTGGTTTAATGTCAACTGTCCAATTGGCATTTCCAGAAAAAGAAACTCCTGGGACCTGATTTTACCAAAAGTATAACACTTTACTGAAAATTTACATTGGCACAGAAGAAGCGAACCAGCTCTAATTTTCCCACTTGAAGGTTTGCTTACATAAAACAATAGATTCCCTCATTCCCACCCACCGGGTGTTCACATTGTCCAGTAGTAACATTTCTTCTTGTTATGGAAATAGTCCATTTCTCCATCAAGCATGACCTTGGTTCTCAGAAGCCTCGGTTGCCTAGATAACACTCCTCCCCCCCTTTGCATTCCATCTCATTGTCAAGCTGAGCAGAAGCTATAGGTAAAAGGGCGAATCAGTCTTGACAAAAATTAAATAAGGTTATTCTACGTATTTCAAGTTTATGTGATGAACTAACTGTACTGCATTTGTATGATTGTACTTAATAGGTTGAGGCCCAATGGCAGGCCTGGATTCCATTACCTTCAGATGCCAGTTCACTCTGGGTATATTTCTTTGTATATAATGAAGAATAAGAGATTCAAAACAGTCTAACTAAATAAAGGTATTAAAATATTGAATCAATAAGGCCCAGTTCCAGAAACACGAGTTCTGAAAAACAAATAAAGAAACAAAATTTTGTAAAGAGTGTTTACTAAGGCAAAGTACAGTGAGACACCCCAAATTGTAGAAATGGTGGCACAAAATCTGAAGTTCAGAATGACCTGAAATTAGCAGAGGATTAGAAAAATGAACAGGTTTTCTTAAAGTATATTTAAAATTAAAGAAACAGGAGTAAAATGCCAACAGAACTACCCAACTCCTGTCTTGACCATATCATCTCTAACAAGAAGATATATATTTTACCGCTCATGAATATAATGAAAAGGAAGGAATGAAGCTCAAGACTGACATAAACAAGCTTGGGAAATCTCTATTTATCATGAATGGTTTAAATATCTAGGGCTTTATGAACTACACAGTAGATTTGCTAATGGTCTGACCAAACATTTATGAATTATCTCTGAAAAGACCCTTGAGACCTTGTGATATACTAGATGACTGGAGAAAGTCAAAATTCATATCTTTGTTCAATAGGTGGACTCAAGAAACTACAGATCAATCTAAAATTGATGTGTGGCTGTGAAGACCTAAAGATGAAAATAAAGAGCAATCTGTAAGCACTTTGAAAACAATGAAGACACTATTTTCAGCATATATTTGTTAATAATAAATCTTGCCAGATTCAGTTTATCAAATTTTAATCAAGTTGCTTGATAGGTTAAAATGATAGAAAAAACAATTCTGACTGAACATTAGGAAAAACATTAACAATATTTTGTTAGAGGAATAAGTTTCTTTCAGAGCTGGTTTTCTCCTTGTCATTCAGTGAAGCCAGAAGATACACAGCCATCTGTTAGACCCAGAGATGCTTTAATTTGGATTTCTGCACTGAGCAGGGAGTTAGATAATAGTCTGATGGTCCCCATCAGCTCATTGGTTCTATATAAAAGGAGTTCTAATAGAAAACCTCTATATGTTTCCCTTGGCAGGTTGCAGAAATGGTTTGCCACTGCTTTTTTTTTTTTAACTTTCTAGTCTAGTCAATACCTCTGGGATTCCCCTAACCTAATACTGACAATAGCTGGAACAGTTGGGCTTTCAATATCAGGGATATTGATCTGTTACACAGGTTCTACTTATACAACATGTTCCCATGGATTTTAAGGAGCTCATTTTATTATTTAGTTAGGATCCAGCCAATTTCATCTATATGCTTGACAAGATTTTCTATATCTATCTCATTTACAGATATGTTCATTCAGAATCACAGTAAAAATGGAAGATTGAGTCAAAGAACTGCGAACTATTTGTATATGCTCTTTCATACGTATATGAAAAATAATTTACATAATAATGGATGTGGATTTTCTAAAATTTAGAATGAAAGGGAAGAAAAATTATACTTCAATCTCAATTCCTAATAGATTTGCACAGATAAATTCTCCAAGGTCTTTTTAAAGCTAAAATAAAACTATTCTAATACTCAGTATACATCTATTCAAATGTAACAATATGTTTGTTACAATAAACTTCTTCCCAATATTCACCAGATGTTTTGGAAATCAATTCCCCAAATCCAAGAGATAAGACTTGAAACTCAAAATCTCAGTACCAGGTTATGGAAAGTTGCGGTGTTGCATGGCAGCCAGAATAAAAAATATATGAATGCCAAAATCAATAATAAGTGGACCATTTGAATTCAGCAGCTTGGAAATAACCAGACATTAACTCAATAATATCTAAATTACACTTGTATACTATGTATATTCTTGGAGCATAAAATGGTACTATGTCATATAATAAGATAAACTATCTCATAAATATATCAATAAATATCAATATTTAGATATATATCAGAGAGCCAATTTCAGAAATGTTGAATTGTATTGATTAAAAATTATTTTTTGATCATTGTAAATCTTTGATCTGTCCACATAGCAATAGCTAAAACAAGGCTTATAAGACAGTATTTGGGTCAATAAATTACTCTTCATTTACATGGTTCAAAGTTTAGCTTTTATTTGGTTTTAAATTAAAAAAATAAATCTCATTATTAAAGAGTGGAATGAGTCTAAACTAGTGTTTACATATTAGTTCACTTGGTTTAGAATACCACCAGAGAAACAATAAAAGAGTACTGTTATTATCCCAAAACAGACATCTTTTTTTTTTTTTTAAGAAAGGTTGACAGTGGCAGAATTCAGTTTAATTGGAAAAAGTCTTTAACACATTGACCATGAATGTTAGAAAGAAATAGCTGGCATCCGTGCTCTCCATATCTAATGGCTACCTCAGTCTGTCACTGGGTTTGGGCGCATTATACAACAGTGCTAATGTCATCTGCTTCATCTGGTTTTTTCTGCCTGCTTGGCAGAGATTTCAAGTACTCCAGGTGCCGGCGTGCATCCTCTTGATTTTGCCGCACATAGTAAACTACATAGGATATCACCATGGTGAACCAGCCAAACATGGTGACTAGCATGGCATAATCTGTTGTCTTTTTAGGAATATTACATAGGTCAGCATCAGCTGCATTGAGAAATGGCCTCCCAGCATGTTCATCTAAATCAGAGGTCTTACAGATGACACTGTTGGCTGTTTCATGGTTGGAAGCCATGCTTCTCAAGACTTGCTGCAGGGTGCAATCACAGTGCCAAGGGTTGTTTGCAATTCGAGCCCTAGCCTTCAAATTGTTAAAAGCATTTTTGTGCACGCTTTTAATCCGGTTGTCTGACAAGTCTAGCATTTGCAAGGTTTCTGCCACTCCTTTGAAGGAGTGTTCATCTATGAATTCAATGATGTTTTTGGATAAGTTGAGGACTTTCAATTGGTGCAAGTCCTTGAAAATCTCATTTGGGATGGATGTAATCTGATTGGAGTCTAAATAGAGCAGGACAGTTTCAGGAGGAAGATCTCTGGGTATTTCTTTCAGGTTCGCATTGCTGCAGCTGACATTCAAACCTCCAGAATGAGAACAAAGGCAACCTTTGGGGCACATACTGGCAGAATGAAAGCATAGTATCATGAGTACAAAGCTTTGTAGAAGCAGACACATGGAGAGGGAGCGAGTTAACCACAGGTCTACCAAATGCATGCTGGAATGTCAGCATAATCACCCAACCACTTCTCATTTACCCAACAGTGGTGGCAAAGTGTCTCAGGAACAAAACTGCAACCTCATTCTCACCAACAATGGAGGTCAAGAATAGTTTAGTATGTAGAGATCTTCATGGTTGGTTTGTTTTTTAAAAGGACATTCCTGGAAAAGGAAAAAAAAAAAACCTTTTAAAAGATTGTGAGGGATATTTTTTAAATGATGTCAATATAGCTAAAGGTACAAACCAAGGCAAAACTATTCAGAAATATTCTTCCATTAAGTTTGGTGGGTCTTGTCTCCAGATAAACATGTAGATTCAAATGGGAAATTTTGATGGCAAAGTCTAATTTATTAAATGTCCAATAGGTTCACTGTTATAAATGACCTTAAGATGTTCTTTCACTCTAAAATTACCATTTCCAAAGCAGACAATTTCTTTTTTCTTTTTTAAACACAAGTTTTCTAGAATAGCATAATAAAACTTAATTACTTTCTTCCATTCACAGTAACAGACACATTAATAAGATTTACAGTGGACTCATGCAGCAGTGACAAATTAAGGAAGGATTTTTGTGTTTAATGACCTTGCGCTACAATGTTCCATATTGCTTTAAATCCAAATTAAACTATTTAAGAAAAGAATGTACTTATTTTTCAAACAAACCAAATATTGATAAATCTGAAGTCATGAACATGTTTTTGCATCAAGTTCACAGGCATTCTGGTTGGGAAATTATGGGAAGTGTATTGGAGTCTCCAATCTTTATCTGCTTATTTGATAAAGAATTTTGCTATAAAATCTCTAAAAAATTATCAGTGTTTTATATAAATACTGATATATATATATATATATATATATATATATATATATATATATATATACACATAAATATATTATATTTATCAGTGTTTAAAATAAAATCTGATGAAATAAGAAACTTCTGTGTTTTTCAAGGAACTCAATTTATTGAAAGGGGAAAAGTTGCAATAACTTGAACAGAATCTAAAGATAGATTGTAAAACGGTGCAATACAGTATCTTTAATTTCTTCATTATAAAGTACCGCCATCTTTTCAGTCATTTATATCACAAACACATATAACTTTTACCAACAAGCTGAGAAGTTTGCATATTCTTAAACTGTATTTAAATATACATGAAGTTCATTTTAACATGTAAGGAAAATAATATAGGACTAGCAGTAAGTAAAATATCCACTCTTTTATTTTCAGATGTAATCTGGAAATTTTAGAATTTGGGCAAATGAGTAGATGACATGACATTTACTACTGGTAATGTATACTGTAGGTTTTCCATTATTGATACATGATGATTATCTTACTGCTTTTGAAGACAAATGAATAAAGGCCAGAATTGTTGGATACGAGATGGGCAGCAAATAAATTTTGTAAATAAAAGCCGAAAGTATTCCGCTCTTATGGCACCCAAGAATAGTGAGAAGTGTTTCCCAATAAATTTTATTTGTAAATGAAGCCAGCAGAGATGCTAAGAGAGAAACAGTTTTGAACCCCTTTTAATATGAAAATTGCTCTCCAAGTATATTTTAGCAAAGCTTTAATACTCACAAATGTGATGAATAAATAAAATATATAAGCAATATAATCTTAGAATTTGAGTTAATGATTATCATATCAAAAGAATGCTGTCTCTGACCTAGGATCTGAGCATTGAGAAAATTGCAAATAACCTCTCTAGATCATTAAAAAAACACAATATAAAGTAAAATAAGATCCAAGAACCTGTCAACTTATTGTAGTTCAGTTACTTTGATGAGGTGCCTTGGGGATTGAAAGGAAGCTTTTTAAGTTGCTCCTTTTTTCTGTCAAAGAGGTAGAAAGAGATCTTGCTGAGTGAATCACATGGTGCCATCTCGTATCTTATGGTCAGGACATCTTAAAGAAAAGAGAAAGAAAATGATTGTTTTATAAGATTGTGCAAAATTAGTTCTTTAAAATTGAAGAGTAGAACGGTTCTACGTATTTAAATTGGGGAAAAAACTATGATCCATAGAAAATAAGTAAAAGCATGTATTTTGATGTGTGGAACACACAGGCCTGTTTTGCTAACAATATTAAAGGAAAGGAAACTTCTAGTAGATTGCTAAAAGAAATATAAAGTTTGATGCTGTGTTTACTTTTGAGAACATGCATTAAAAGGTAGCGTACATGTTGAAAGAACTACAGATGTATTTTATATAATTTTGATATAGGTGAGGGGATGGAGAGGAGAGGGAGAGGGGGGGGATGGTAAGTGTACGGCAAGGGGATTTGGGCTGCATAAATCCAGATGACAATTAAGAGTACAACAAAGAATGAGCATTTTCTATATCTCTTTTCTGTCTTCTCATTCTCAGCAAAATGACTTTATTTTTACAGACACATCTCTGAAGGAAATCCTTGTGAATCACACTCCTACCAATGAAACTCTACACAAACAAAACAATAAATTCACCCTGCCCTTGCATTAAAATAGATAATTTCTTATTTCTCTTTATACCTCACTTCTGCCATATGATATACATTTAAAGAAACATAAAATTATTTTAAAAATTTAAACTCAAACTCAGGTAAGAAGTTTTCATATTTTTTGTTTGTAAAAGGCTATGAGCCTGTTAGCTTTCTGTAAGGCTCTGAAAACTGGGCTATTTCTTCAGGATTTTTCAGTTTTAGGAGCTGGGTAGGTGATGTGCTTTTGTTTCAAGGGTTATTGCTTAACCAGGATGTCATGGATTTATGTCCAGAGTCACTACCATGAGGTGGTGACTATAAAAGTTAACATCAATAGGTTAGCATTAGCATTTAGGAACTATGTACGAAAATAAATAATGACAAAATTCTATGGAAAGATCTTTATCAAAAACATAGAAAGAAATCAGTGGGATAAGGCACAAAGTCTAAATACAAAAGAAAGAACTAGATGTTTTCTGTTATGTCCCGAGCCTTGCAAATGGCTCGGGGCGTTTGCAGGCGGTCCCGGGCAGGTGCAAAGCTGCCCGGGACCAGACAGGCTGTCGCCAGCGCCGTGCGCATGCGCGGGTGCTGGCACGGGAAAAGTATCGCATTGACCCGGAAAATGTCTATATAAGAAGCTGAGAGATTTTGGGAGCTGCTGAAGCCATCTACTTGTAAGCTGAACGCAGAATAAAGAAAACTGAGAACTACAACTGCTTCTCGTGTCTTACATTTCCGCGAAGGACTCAACATTTTCCTCTACAAAATTCCTGCAGAATTCAGTTTTACATTTCTCAATTCCAATTCTGTAAGTTTCTTCTGACATACAAATAAGAAGTTGCAATTTAAGAAAAGGGTAAAATCTGAAAGCTGCTTAAATATTCCCTTTTATTGTTTTGCTTTTCTTTTTGGGAGAGAAAAGTTGCTGAGAGGGGGCAATTGCAATTTAAATACTTAATTAAGATGTTTTTGTTTTAATCATGAACATAAAAATGGCTGCCATATAGTGGTTAAAGTGCTGATCAAGGAATGTGGATTTAGTCCATGCTCAGACATGGACCACAATCTAGTCATTTAATTTTTAACTATACATTCCATCTCAGGGATATTCTGTACATTTTGAAAAGAATGTTATTTCATAGGTAGGTAGGTAGGTAGGTAGGTAGGTAGGTAGGTAGGTAGGTAGGTAGGTAGATAGATAGATAGATAGATAGATAGATAGATAGATAGATAGATAGATAGATAGATAGATAGATAGATAGATAGATCGATCAACAAGAGAGCAGGGACAGTGAATTGTGTAATTAAATTTCCAGAAATCTGATGTAAACCTCAGTTGAAGTACATGAACTTTCAAGTCTTACCGTGCATGAGAAACTGCCAGTTTAATAAAATAGGAGATCAAATAGAAGAAATGAGTGTTCTGATATATGTTTGGAAATTAGCATGAGAATGGAACAGCTGAGATCCTGCAACCCCCTAACCAGTCACAATGACACAAATCTGGCAACAGTGCAAATGATTTGCAGCCCAGTTCATGCTATTATCTATCCTTTGGAGATATTTTACAACTTCATCTGAGGAGTTTATGACAGATCATGCATCCCTCCAATGGCTACAACATGAGAAAAATAAGTTTTGTGACAAAAAGAAGTTACTGAAACTTGGCTTTGCAAGAAGATGACATCACTGTTGTGCACACCTAGAGCCAAATTATCATTATGGCAGATGGTCTATGCCAGGAGCTATATTAAAAACACCATAGCAGTTTATGAATCTAAACAGGACATACATGCTGTGCAATCGTTCCTACAGGTTTTCTGTTATAAATGCTAATTTATCCCTAAAGGTATGATCTGAGTTTAGAACAAAATTCTGAGAAATTAATGAGTTAAAGGAAGTCAGTTTAGTCTCAATTTAAAGATAAGCATATACCACACATACACATACACACATACACACACACAACACAAACACTACATACCTATATCTATACTTCCCCCCCCTCTTTATATGAGCCAACTGAGAATCTCTAATAAGTATTCTACAAACATAATTATTGTCATCTTCCAATAGGAGGTAGGATTAGGATTCATGGAGAGAAAATCAGAAATTTGTAAGCAACTGGCAGGTAGTTTAGTTGATAAGCCTCAAAGAAACAAACTCAATAAAGATGGAAAATTTCTTTATTAGGCCTAGGATGCAGGGCTGTGTCTGAAAAGTAATACCTGGAAACAAGATAAAGTAAGGTAAACTCCACAGGAAAAGAATTTGGCAGTCTTGTCACTAATTTTAGTTGCTTTTCAGTCTGTTTTTGTTGAGGTGAAAAGCATTATTTTAACTCATTCCCAATCTTAGTCCCTCTAACCCAGTGGTTCTCAACCTTTTTAATGCCGCAACCCCCAACTGGTCGTAAGTTGAGGACTACTCAACTGGTCGTAAGTCGAAGACTACTCAGCTGGTGCAGCACCATTTGCAGAATGGGACTTTTGGCAGGCTCAGCAGGGCAGAGACAGCCTGGACAATTCCTATTGGCTTTTGAAAGCCAATAGAATTAGACTCTATTCAAGAAAGTCTATTCTATTGGCTTTCAAAAGCCAATAGAATAAAAGGGAGTAACACAGCTAAGGAAAAGGGGGGAAATGGGGGGCTGCGTTGTTTGGTGACCCCCATGAAATGTCGTTCGACCCCAAATGGGGTCCTGACCCACAGGTTGAGAACCACTGCTCTAACCCTTTGTTTACTCATATTAGTGATCTGGAGCTTCAGGATTGATTTTCAGTCTCTTGTAATTTAATGTAATTAGCCCACCTCTCTCATTTTTTCTTTATTCCCTTATTTAATATCACTTTTTACTGATCACTCAAATGTTCAGCACATTAATAGTGTCACACACTCCAAATCAACTTCGACTTGGTAAGCCAGTTTAAAAATAGGAAACCAATGTCATTTATTTAAAAGCTTATTTGTTGGGGAAGAATAGAGATCTCCTCCCTCATGCCAATTCCACATAAGGAGAGTACTCTGTTCAGGACCATCTGCCCAGAAAAAACTATATTAAGTATCCTAGAACTCAGGAAGAAAGAGGTGTGAAAGTAGAGATTCCAGAGAAAATCTGCAGACTTGTATTTGGGGCAGGTATACATCATCCTTGCTGTACAGTACAATAAAGGCAAATTAATACCTTGGACAATCTGAAATGACTCTTTTGCCTCTTTTCAGCATTAGTGGCACATTTAGTTTTCAAAATATGAAATCATGGCTATTTCAGGATATAATTATAAAACAAAGCTCCTTCATCATTTCAACAATAAAAGTAAATTTCACACTGTAGAGTATTAAGAGGTCTGTTTTCCAACTTGGTTTATTATATAAGGAACTATGGAACTGACTGGAAAATACATGGTGCCATGCAGCCTCCTCAATATGACTCTGCCTAGCTATTTTTCATCTTATCTTAATTCCCCCAGGTAGAGCTGATTCTGCTGGCTGGTTATAATTATCAGATCCAACATGTCTGAAAAACGTCTGGCTGAAGACCTTAAGATATAATAAAAATAAAAATCATGAAAACTAATAGCTATATAGGTCGGCAGGCATTCGGCAAGCTAAGTATAATTTTCAAGAAAACCTCCCATATCTGAAGAGAAAAGTTTTCAATCAGTGCTGCTCTAACATACGCCAGTGAAATATGGACACTAATCTCACTATCGATACAAAAGCTACGAGAAGCGCAGAGAGCCATTGAAAGATACATGCTCGGCATTACAAGACAAGATAGAAAGACCTGCACATGGATTAGAGAACAAACAAAAGTATACGATATCATCAAGAGAGTAAAGGAATTGAAATGGAAATGGGCTGGTCACATAGCAAGAAGAACTGATGGCAGGTGGACCAAGGCAGTCATAGAATGAATCCTATTTGATAAAAAGCATCCACAAAAGAGGCCTAAAACAAGATGGATCGATGACATCAGCAAGTATTGTGAGCCCAATTGGCAAAAGAAAGTCTCAGGACTGTTTTGGTTGGAAACATGCGGAAGAGGCCCCATCCTGAAGAGGATAGACAATGGTTAAAATGATGATGATGATGACGAATTAATACAATGCTAAAAATGGGCATACTATAATCATAGTTAACAAAAGCAATTTCACAGTATGTTCAGAAAAGCAATGACTCAACTATACAATGAAACTGATAATGGGGAAAGGAATGTTGCATTATGACTTCACAGCAGCAGTTATATATATATTGGGTGAGACTGTGGCTTTTTTAATTTGCTGGTTCAATTACTGAAAAAGAAATTGAGATAATTTTTTTGGTAAAAGTTTGGTCAAGCCCAAATGTAAGGTGACCAACCGTCCTCCTTGAGGGAGGACAGTCCTCCTTTTGTAAGTTCTGTCCTCCCTCAAAAAGTGTCCTCCTTCATGTCCTCCTTT